TCCAAATATCCAAATATCCAAATTTCCAAATATCCAAATTTCCAAATTTTCAAATATCAAAATATCCAAATTTCCAAATTTCCAAATATCAAAATTTCTAAATTTCCAAAATCCCAAATTCCCAAATTCCCAAATTCCCAAATTCCCAAATTCCCAAATTCTCAAATTTCCAAATTCCTGAACTCTTGAATTTTCAAATTCCCAAACTTCTAAACTCCCGAATTCCCAAACTCTCAAATTTCCAATTACCTAAATTTCTAAACGCTGAAAATCAAAAATTCCCAAATTTCCAATTACCTAAATTACCAACGCTGAAATTAAAAAATTCTCAAATTTCCAATCAGCTAAATTACCAACGCTGAAATTTCCAATTACCTAAAGTACCAGCGCTGAAATTTCCAAATTCTCAAACTCTGATATAGCTAATCTACTTTTTTTATACAAAGAACATAATTTTATATTACCAAAATTACTTGGTCTTCTTCCTCATAATAATAAATCAAGAATTTTAAATTCAGCATGTCGTTTCATCTAAGTTCTGTAAAACATTTCGTATGCTGCATAATAAAAATAATAAAATTTCTTGGAAATGACAAATTGTATTGAAGTGGCGTTATTACACAGAAAAGTGTAAGACGATAACGAAAAATGAAAGAACAGAACTAAAAATAATATCGGGATTTAATAACCATCAGAATACAACCGTAATGAATAAATTATTTATTACAGTTGTTTTCGCAACCAATTCAAAACGATCACTATTCGCGCTCGCTTCAAAAATAACCGTACAACCGTATCGATGTCTAATCGATGTATATAATCGATATACTGTCATGCTCAGATTTTACATTCATTATACGGTGTCAAAAATGAAAAGTGCACAATCATATTAATATCTAAAGAAATGTTTACAAAAGTATTTTTATTTACTTATTATTGCCTGACAGTTTCGTTTTCAGATACATCGCAGTTATAAGTTTCTTTGAAATAATTCTCCACCACATTTCATTTAATAAAATAAACCACGGTTCGTAATTAATTTTCAAATAACTGTGAAATTGTTGTAGGGTTTTGTGCACCGATGCTGAAAGCGATGAAGGGTTTCATGTCGACTTTGTCGAGTATTTATTAGAAACTGAACTAGAAGTTGCAAGCTGATAATAGAGGCAATGATACCTAGACCTTGCTCATATTGAAGTTATGCCACCAATATTATACAATTTTCAGTATATTACAGTATTTTTCGTGTAACTACAATTTACAATAGCTAAATACCAGAATATATTCAGCTAAAAATAATTTCAATCTAAGAATTTACACTGCTTTCAAAATAATCTTTCCAATACCATTAATCACCCAAACAGATTATAGATTACAGATAAAAACGTCATATCTACTGTTATATTATTCTTTTAAAACATGGACATCCCCACTTTAAAATAAAGATCTCGGATACACATACATATACAAATTTCATTGTTTAATACAAGCAGTTTACTGACATCTACAAGTTTAGTTGCATCTACTCTAAATATAAACATGATCTATCTAATGTATAATGCAAAAGAAATTGTACTATATGTTTTCAATCTTAAAGCGACTTGAAAGGATTAAATAACAAGAGTTTTCCAAATGATAACAGTTGATTTTAATGAAATATAGCATGTAGTTTTCGAACACATTTTTGATCCACTTTTTTTTATTGGTCATCATTTATATTAAGGGGGGTGAAAACAGTCCTTGAAGTTGGAGATGGAAGACGTATTTTTCTCAATATCTTGAAATCTTTTTATAATGTAAACAATTGTATATATAAACTTTCTGTCTTGTAGTGGAAAATTTAACTGCACAAATGTTTTTCCTATTTATTTATAGGTTGTGATAAGAAGTAATTTTATTCTTCTTTTTTCTTGATTTTCATGCATAAAGCATGATACTACTTTTATCTAATTTTATTTATTTGAATTATAGGCTAATATAAAGTATGTAGTTTTTTCAAACATAAGTTTGTAAATAAATTTTAATTTTAATTTTAAAGCTTGTAGATAAAATTATGCAGGGAAAGTTATTTTATATTTGAATCACATTGCAAATTACAGATTGCAAAATTTTATAGTAAATATTGATATTTGTGATGTATTCGATGTTTACAGTTTTTATTGACATTTGCAGCTTATCTCTTAATACTGTATTTAATAGTATAAATAGAATTAATAGTGTACTGTATGACATTATGTTATGCTAACTTAAATTTTATTAATATGCTGCGCTATAATATATAAATTAATAAATAAATAAATTGTGTATAAATTATACAAAAATAGCATCATATTTTACGCAGGAAAACAAAAAAATGTAATTTCTATTATAATCTTTAATTGAATAGATATTTCATTTTTGATATTTTGTTTTTTTAAAAATCAAAAAGATTTCATACATAATATTTTTGTTTACAAAAATTTTTCACGATATTAAGAAAAATGTTCTCCATCCCCAATTTGGAGAACTGTCCTCATTCTGTACATACAAATGATTGATGGTAACATTTGACATTTAAGTTTAATCCTTAGGTAATTGTCTACCAGTTCGATGTTTAACAGTTTAACTTAATAATATTCGAGATATTTTAATTAGTTTATCTAGACCTTTACATTCGTTGGTAATTTCTCATATTCACTAATGCCAATTTTGAGGTTAGGAAGTAAAAAAAAAATTAGGAATCGCACCGCAATATTTCACATACTGTTCTGAAGAGAACAAGAAAATTACAGAACTCAATGCAAAACTTTGTAGAAAAATAATTATTATACTTCGTAATTAACGTCTTAACGAATATCTAAAAATTTATTTTTGTACCGTCAATAATTTTTTATTTCATTTTAAACAAAGAGACGTATCTCCATTATGATTACCGTGTGGAAGATAATTTTCAAGGTTTACGTTTCAATATTTGTCGAGTTTCATACTTCATTACCTAATAGTTCGATGTTGATTTGTGCAGTTCATTTCATATTTTCAACAGATATCTTCCAAATATTTTTTTAAATACACAATATACATATAATACATATACATTCCATACATAATACATATATATGTAAATACAATATATGTATATTCCAAATATATTTTATACAATACATGTATATTTCAAATATTTTCATTGTCAAAGAAAATAAAAGACTTAACACGTAATCCTTGTTTCACAGCACAAGTTAAATGCCGGAGAGTGGCAATTCAATTGTCAGCACGGTCCAGAAGAATGCCAAGGGAACATGGCCCAAGCTTGTGGTCTGCACGCGATCCAAAACAAGGAACCAGCTGAAAAAGTTCAGCAGTTGAGTGTGGCTCTTGTCGGTTGTGTAATGTCATCAAGACATCCAGCGTCGTCCGTGCCGCAGGTACTTAATTATTTGTCTTTCTCTTTGAAATGTGGAACTAACCAGCTGAACATCCTGGACTCGGTCTAGTAATTATTGGTCACAGGAGCCGCGTTTCCCCTAGGCAGGGAAATGCATTTCTTGCGTAAACTCGAGGCTGAAAGATAGCTATCTGTTAATTGATATTTGTGGCTATATATGGTGTCACGTTACATCACTACGCGTTGTATAACGCGTTATAAGTATTATTATGCGTTATGTAGACTTGTATTGGGACGCGTTGTATAGCTTCATTAGGGTGGTTCAAAAAAATTGTTTTTCTTTTTCCTCTTCTTTTGACAAGTTGAAAAGATCTTTACAAATTTTAGAGTTCGCTCAAATAATTCAAATTATGATAGTTAATTATGTCATTAATACTATAATGTGTTGTATCAGTTTACATGATACGCACATATGTTGCACATATCACCTTGTATGATGCATATATGATGTATTACCTTATGTGGAACATATATGATATGTTGCACACATCACCTTGTACGATATCTATATGATGTATTATCATATGTAATACATATGTGACATGTTATACGTATCACCTTGTACGATACTTACATGATGTATTTACTTATATGGTACCTGTATGATGTATTATCATATGTAATACATATGTGACATGTTGCACATATCACCTTGTACGATACATATATGATGTATTACCTTATGTGGTACATATATGATACTTTATACACGTCACCATAATACGATATTTACCTTATGTGGTATCTATATGATGTATTACCTTATATGGTACATATGTTATATGTTATATCACCATATACGACACCTGTATAATATATTGTATTACCTTATGTAATACATATATGATATGTTGTATCATATCACATGTCGTATTTATACAATACCTATATTCTATAATGCATTTCCTTATATGGCGACTTATATTATATTTTGAAAAGAATCGCGTTATATCGTCATAATCTTACATCCCCTTCTATCAAAATGTTTATGTATTATTCTTTACAAATATACCAATTGTTTTAGTGTGCCGAGAGTGTGGGACTGAACGAGCAGGCAAAGGCCAGCATCGAGCAGTGCCTTAATGGCCCATTGTCCAAAGAGTTGTTGGCTGCAAACGGCGATAAAACTGATGCCTTGAACCCTCGTCTCTCTTTCGTTCCAACGATCACCATCAACGGAGTAAGTAAATTACCTTGAAACATCCTATCACATAAATCGCCAAGAATTTACTCATTCATCTTTTCTTTTCCTTCAGGTTACCTCGCAAGAAATCCAGAACAAAGCGTTGAGTAACTTCCAGAAATTAATTTGTGACACGTTACCAGCTAACTCCAATTCCAAATGCGCTTAAGAATTGAATCACGATATTTTGTTTAGATGTAAAATAAAAATTTCAAGAACACTGCCACGAGTGGATGTCAAAAGTGTTTCATATAACTTGTAATATACGAATTTTGATAAACAATAAAAAAAAATGGACATTGAGAATAAAGAGAATTTAGTTCGAAAAGTGGATTACAACCTGGGTAAACGAATATCAAATACCGTGCGTGTCTGATAAGTTGGCAATTGAAATGTGAATATTTGGTCAAGTTATTAGACACGTACGGTGTTCGTGATGATAATCAAAATCGTTGTATTTAATCGTTAATATATACAAGCGGCTATGTACAAAAATATATCTGATTCCATCTGTGTATAAAAATCAAGTATAAAACGATGGGAATAAGTCTTTGGCAGTAGTATAAACCTCTGTATAACACGATGAATATGGTTCATCTTATAAGAGTAGCGATAAAAATACATTTTTTGAAAACGTGTATCTATAACATTTGAATAAACATTGTGTTGTACAGGGGCCTATGATATAGCAGCGTGTAGCCACGAGATCCTTTAGAGTTTAGGGTTTTTGACTTTCTTCTTGAAATTCATCTTAACCGTCGATGAACACGGTGTCGTTCAGGTTGCTCAATTCGAGAAACTGTTGCTCGATGTCGGAACCCAGCTCGTTGAAATCGGGAACCTCGTCTTCAACATGGTATACTGAAAAATAACATTTGTACGTCGTGAATATATTTGGATTCTAAATAATTTGGAGAATTTTACATTTAGAAAATTGAGGATCTGGAATTTTTTAAATATTTCGGTGTTTTGCGAATTTAGGAGTTTGAAAATTTCGAGATTTAAGGGTTTGGCAATTATGAAGTTGGAGAGACTTAGGCATTTAGGGATTTGGGAATTTGGGAATTTGGGGATTTGGGGGAATAGTGAATTTGAAGTTTTGGGAAATAAGAAGAATAGCGAATATGATGATTTGTGGTTTAGTAATTAAGAAATGTGGAATTGCGAGTTTATGGAGCTAGAAGTTTATGAAATTGGGAGTTTCGGCAATTTAAGAAGCTGAGAATTTACAGAACTGGAAATTTAGAGAATTAGGAAATTGAGGAAGTGGCAATTTAGGGTATTAGGAATTTAGGGTATTGGGAATTTAGGGAATTAGGAATTTAGGGAATTAAGAATTTAGGGTATTGGGAATTTAGGGAATTGGCAGATTAGGGAATTGGGAATTTAGGGTATTGGGAATTTGAGGAATTGAAAATCTATGAAATTGGGAATTTAGAGAATTGGAAATTTATGAAATTGAGAATATAGGGAATTAGGAACTTATGGAACTGGGAATTTACGGAACTAGAAATTTAGGGAATTTGAAAATTGAGGAATTGGGAATTTATGGAATTAAAAATTTCAGGAATTAGAATTTTGCGGAATTGGAAATTTAGGGAATTAGAAACTTGAAGAATAGAAAATTAAGGAAGTTGTGAATTTAGAAAATTCGGGAAAAACTTTATAGAAATTGGAAATTTAAAGAACCAGAATGTAGAGATTTGTGAATTTAAGGAAGTAATAATATTATGATTAAAATTTAGTAATTTAAGAATTTAGAAAAATTCTTAATTAGAAAATTAAGAATGTAGGGAATTGGAAATTTCGAGGAATACGGAAATCTAAGAAATTGTAAATATCAAATTCCAAAGAACCAATTATTTATACCTACGTAAACTTGAACATTTAAAAATGTTGGAATTGAGAAACATATGAAGTTGCAAACCAAAATACTTCGAAATACAAAAAATGAAGAAACTTGATAATTCGAGAATTTTGATAATCATTCAAGTCCTGACATATGTATACAATCGTATAAATTTCAAATTCTCGAATGGAGAAATCCCCTAGGTAGTACTATCCTACAACTGCCTTGCATATCCACTCGCAACGCATTCTCCAAACGTTATCGTAGATAAGCTACCACACGCGGAAATAAAAAGAAGTGTACGCGCCATTATCTGATAAAACAGTAATTGATGACACGGTATTTCGGTCGAAATAAAAATCGCAGCCGCGATGGTTGGAATTTAAAAGGGCACGCGTGTGTCGCACGTGGCAAGTGTGTCGTCTGTTTTGGCGCGTGCGTACGTGCGTGTGCTCCAGCGAAAAAACCATGGAATATTATTTTAAGACTCGGTGTGGGGTAAACGCGTAAAGCGGTGAACCTCCTCTGAGATTAAGTATGGTGGACCTAGCGTACTGTCATCATCATCGGCTTCGTTACCATTCACCGGGACAGAAAAAGGCAGCGCACGCGCGGACCCTGTACAATAACCATTTCTACGGGGTGAACTTCTTTCTTTATTTTCTTTTTTAATTCTATTTAACACTATTTCTACCACTTTTGTGTATATCTATTTCGATCAAAAGGTGTCTTTTGACATTTTGTCAAAGTTTTGCATGTCACATTGAATACAAATAATTGCCGAAACTTGGGATTTCAAATTATCAAATGTAGATAATTATCAAATGTAGATGTTGAGGAATATATTTATTGATATATTGATGCGTTTTTATTAGAAATTATTTAATAAGGTTACAGAATTGGTAATGAATTGAATTTTAAATTTGAAAGTTTCAGAATTTAGAGAATATTGAACATATATGTATATTTAGAGAATTGGGTAATTTAATAATTATTAATTCAAAAATCAAGGAGTTGATTTAATTTCTTAGGTAATTGGTAATTTGTGAATAGAGTTATTAAAAATTTGAAACTCTAGAAGTTTGGAAAATTTAAGAATATGAAAAAATATACAACTTTCAAAAATGATAAAATTTATAAATATAAAGAATAGTAAATTCAAAAGTTAGATAAATTAGTTGTAACAAAATATAACAATTTTTTCCCTGGATATAAACAAAATCCAGTAGCCTATCCCCACTGCCTTATACCTCCATATCTACATCCTTAATATTACATTTAATAAATTTAACAAATATTTAATAGTATTAATAATGAATTTATCTGTATACTCCATATCTACCAACTTAACATTACATTTGATAAACTTAACAAATATTTGACAGTATTAACAATAAATGTATCGGTCTATTAAACAGTAAATTTAATAATAAATTTACATGTGACCGTCCATAACCAAAAACCGCTTCCATGCAATATGTTACTGAATACGTTAATTACATTTTACTGATCTGTTTTCTTACCTGTGCCGTCCACGTGCGTGCTGACATCATCGATGAGAAAACGCTTGACAGACTCGATAGGCACATACTCCTGAGTACTGTCAAGGTTCATGGAAATCCTATCGACCTGACACAGATTCGTTTGGAACAGGTCCGCGTCCTCGTCCGCGTAAGACTCCGAAGTCTTATACGTCCGGTAATTCGATTCCCCGTGATATGGCAGCGGCGTTTGAGCTTGCTGATGTTTCGTCGCCGTGGAAATCGGATCTTGTCTCGAATTATTGGATACGACGGTTACTTTGCTCTCGGACGTTAACGAGAGATTAGATAGAGTCGTCGTTGGCTCTGTGTGATTTTTCACGTGCTTTCGTAGGCTCGACGGATCCGTGTATCGTTTGCCGCAACCGCTTACTTGGCATGCGTATGGTTTCTAGAAATATGGATGAACATTTGGTTAGGTTGAAAAATGGGTATTGATACTTGGATGGAAATATGGATGCATGTTTGGATAAAAGGTGCATCTGGAAGAAAGTGTGCATATTAGAAGGAAATGTATGCACAGTAGAAGGAAATTGTGGATGTATATTTGAATAAAAATACATTGGTATTTCTCCAAGTACCTATTTGGAGAAAACTGTACTCTGACATTTAAATGAAAATGGACGGACGCTAGAATTAATATGTAGATATACATTTGGACAAAAATATGAGTAGAGACTTATTTGGATTAAGATGATCACAGATTGTGGATGTACATTAAGATGAAAATGTGGATGCACATTTGGATAAAAACGTGAATACCTATTTGGATTAAGATCATCACAGATTGTGGATGTAAATTAAGACGAAAATCTGGATACACATTTGGACAAAAAAAAAGAGTACCTATTTAGTTCAAGATGTTCACAGACATAACAGTGAACACACGTGATGAACACACATGAACATGTGAACACACATTAGAATAAAATGTGCATAAATTTATATAAAATTATATACAGACGTTACAGTGAAAATATGGACAGACATTAGGATCAAAACATGGACGCTCCGACGCAATTGCATTTGAGTGAATTCTGTGTATAACGCGTGTCCGGTACATAGATAATCGAACATAATGGGTATCCTATTAGTTCTTTATTAAAATTGCATTAAAGGTGTACGCACCGTATCGTAATGTGTCCTCTGATGTTTCGCACGATCGCTGCTGTTGCTAAACGCTTTCGTACAACCGCGATGCTGACAGGCGTAGGGTCGTTCTCCCGTATGCGATCTCTGATGGATTTTCAGGTTTTCCAATCGGGAGAATGCTTTCTTGCATCCCGTAAACTGTAATAAACCAAAATGATCTTTTGAGTTTATTTTGAAGTATTATTCAAAAATAAGCCACAAGATGAGCTCTGATACCGAAATATGTTCAATAAAATATAGTAGATGACGCAACAGATGCGTCCTAGAGGCACATAGGTGTATAGGGATAAAAGGATATAGAAATACACGGTATAGGTGTATAAGTGTATACGGATAGAGGGACATAGGTATATAGGTATTGAAAGATATAGGTGTATAGGTTTGCAGAGATAAAAGTAAGGTGAAGTGGGGCAAGTGCGTATACAGGCTATTTTTATTACAATACGAGCGAAATTTCTCCATTTCGTATGTTTTTTTCCTTGTTTTGTTTCACTATATCCCCTTTTATATTTCAGCTAAGAGTACTTGTTTGCAGTATAGAGTACTTGCATAATGCAGTAAAAAGCATTTTATAGCAGATTTGTTAATAATTCTGCTCTTGCCCCATTGCACATGAAATAAAGTTTCAAAGTATTTAACTTCAGGTTACGCTCTTACCCCATTTTCGGGGAGAGTACAGAGTAGTTGACATTTTAAACAATTTCTGATTAACATCAAAATGTACAAGGAAAATTAAGGTCCTAGTTAATATTAATTAAATAGTAGTAATTGTGCAAAGCGTTCGATATTGACAGCCTTAAGTATTTACATAGTAGACTGGAAATACTTATGTTTAAATACCAACTTTACAAAAGCCAGTCTTCACTTCACCTTATATAGGTATATAGGGATAGAGAGATATAAGTATTATACATATATGTAAATCAAGGGATGTAGAGATCTAGCTCTAAGTATAGGTATATGTGGGATATAGGCATATAAGGATCTAAATATTTAGGGATCCAGGAGCATAGAGATCTACATACTTGAAAATCTATAGATACAGAGATCTAAAAGCAGAAGTACCTAAGTATTTCAAAATCTAACACAAATTTAGAAACACAGGTACTAAATATTTGTGGATCTAAGTATCTACAAATACAAATACATACATTCTACTGCACTCACTTCTACAATATACTACTTCCATTTCATTAATTTATTCCACCCCGTATAAACACGAATTTTCATTTAAAAATTGATAGGCTAACGTCAATTTAAACTACACCACTATAATTGATGTAGTTACTGTAATTAACTATAATTGAACTACAGTAATTAAAAAAATTGATAGGTCCAGTTTCAAATGGACCCAAAATAAACTAGATCGGAGATATCTCATGTACATACCGGGCACTTGTTCGGTTTTTCGCCACTGTGCACCCTCATGTGGATCAACAGCTTGTATCTGGCATTGAACGGTCTGGCACGCGGACATCCTTGCCAAAGGCACGCGAACTCGTCCTGACCGCTTACAGGATTCGGGAATCCGTCGGTGTCCTTGTCCTTATCCTTGTCTCTGTCCCTCTGGATCCGTCTGCCGTGTCCGTGCGCGTTCGACGACGAGGACTCCACGTGTCGTCTCTCGATGTGCCGCACTAAACCCTCTTGCTCGGCGAAGGCGCAGCCGCAATCTATCCATCGGCACTGATACGTAGACGTTAAATTGTCGTCCGTCGTTGAACAGTCTGAAGAAACAGGAGTGACGACGAACGTTTCAGACGCGTGTACAGGTGCGAGCAGATCTGATTTCTTTAGAGAAAATATGGTAGCCAAGAAAGAGAAGCGATTGTGCTCGTTGATTTCTTGGGATTTTTGAGGACTTGAAAACTTTGAGATGAGATGAAAATTTGGGAGAATGGAAATTTGCAGATTTGGGGATTTGAGAATTCAGTGGTATGGGAATGGGATCTACGGATATGGGAATATAGGGATTTGGGAATCTCCGTATATGGGAATATAGGGATTTGAGAAACCACAAATATGGAGATACAGGGATTTGATAATCTACGGATATGGAAATATAGGGATTTGAGAATCTATAGATATGGGAATGTGGGGATTTGAGAAACCATGAATATGTGAATATAGGAATTTGAGAATCTACGGATATGGGAATATAGGGATTTTAGAAATCATGAATATGGGAATACAGGGATTTGACAAACCACGAATATGGGAATACAGGAATTTGAAAATCTACGGATGTGGGAATACAGGAATTTGAGAATCTACGGATATGGGAATATAGGGATTTGAGAATCTACGGATATGAAGATACAGGGATTTAACGACCTAAGAATTTGGGGATACGGGAATTTGTGGAATTAAGAATATGGGAGATATAAGTGTTTTGAAGTTCAGAGATTTGGGAACAAGGAATATATGGATTTAAGCACATGGTGGCATAGGAATTTAGGGATGTAAGTATTTTGGAATATAAGGATATTAGAATATATGGATTTGGGGGTTTAGAAATTTGGGGTCTTGGGAATTTGTGAATCAAGGAATTTGGAATATAAGTATTTCGAGACTTTGGAATTTGGGGGTCTTGAGATATAGCAGTTTAGGAATTTGGGGATCTAGGAATTAAGAAAGAATTGGGGAATCTGGAAATCTAAGAATAGGGGAATCCAGGAATCGAGAAATTTAAGAATCTAGGAATATGAGAATCTAGAAATATGGAAATCTAGAAACACAAAAATTCATGGATCTATATGAAATAGGAAATCAAAAATTTTTTTAATTATTACTGAAATAACGTCTGAGAATATAGAGGTTTGATGATTATGATATATGAAAATCTAGGGATATGAGAATTTAAAAATTCGGGAACCTAGAAATTTAAGTAAAATAATTTCAGATTTCACATATTTAGAAATTTACAAATTTAAGAATTTGTGTATTTGAAAATTACAAAATTTACAAATTTAAAAATGTAAACATTTTTAAATTAAAAAATTTAATAATTTAATTTATTCCTGTGTTTTGTATCAGTAAACGGAATCAATTATTCATTCCTAATATATTTTATTTATTTTTTTCCTAATATATTTTGAAAAATATTTTTAATTTTCTATGGGTGATAATCAAACAAACATTTATATAAACAATTTTATTCGCATAAAATGCTGTATCAAATGTCTCATAAACATTCAAAAATAGTCTATATTGATGTTTCGTAAAGTACATATTATTTCTTTTGAGACACCCTGTATAAATAGAGTCAGTCTTGTTAGGAGAGGTTTGGCAAGCGATACTTGAAGTCTACTCTAGTGTTTGGTCGTTTCATAAATATGGATGTTTGTTTAGAACACTTCTTAAACAACGTTGCTCCTTGTTTAGATACTTGTAACTAGTAGGTGTAACGGAAGTGGTGATTGAAGTGGCGCGTTTGGGGATGCTGAGGAATTCTGTTGAATATGCTTTATGGCGCAAGGAGAGGTTATATATATTTTTGAATCTGAGACTGAACTTGGGAATTTGCGATTTTGGCGAGTTTGAAATTTGTAAATTTATCAATTTAGAAAGACAGAAGTTTCGTAATTTAGGAATTTGAAAATTTAAAAATTTGGTAATTTAAGAATTCAAAAATTTAAGAATACAGAGATTTAGAAACTCGGATGTTTAGGAATTCGGAAATTCAGAAATTTAGAAATGTAGGAATACAGAAATTTAAGAATTCGAAAATTTAGGAATTTGATAATTTAAAAACTCAAAGATTTAGGAATTCAGAAATCTAGGAATTCAGAAATCTAGGAATTCAGAAATTCAGAAATTCGGAAATTTAGAAATTTAGAAATGTAGAAACTCGAGAATTTAGAAATTCGAAAATTCAGAAATTTGTAAACTTGAAAATTTAGAAACTTGAAGTTTTCAAAATTTTTAAATTTCGAAAATTGAAAATTAAGAAAATTTAAAAAAGTCTGTACTAATTTTTTATCTCCATAAAAATCTTCACAGATTTAAAAAAACATTCCAACAAACCCCAATAAAAAAAAAGAAACTTGAAATTGATCCGTTCAGTAGCTTTAGTATCGAATCAACATCATACAAGATAATCCTTCTACCATAAACTAAACTTCGAACTCACCATAAACTTTCCCTTTCACGTCCTCAGCTTTTCCGAGGGGCACGCGCCTATCGGTCAGCAGAAGTCCCTCGTTCCTCGGTAGAACAATCTGATTCCCAAATCCCTCGTTCAAAACGTCATTAGCATAATTCATTCCCGAAACTGCGGATTGTTGCCCAGAAACCAGATGTCCAACCGCGTAGGGTCCATTTAAATTCGCAAAGGGATCCTGTAGCTCTTCAAGGTAGCTGGAGGACGGCGAAGAAGGTGAATCGTTGCACAACAACGATGTGGGATCGCCTCTGATCAAACTGAGATCAAATTCGTCCGTTGCTGCTTGCATGGTGCCTGTGAATCCTTGGTCCTCCGATTGGTTGTGCAGAACTAACGGTAATGACACGGACGCGTCATCCTGGTACTCCTGGTAGCCTTGGTATTCCGTGTAAACAGGATTGCTGAAGGTCCTCGAGAAGGAAAATGCTGAACCGACTGGAGGTAACCTTTGAGAATTGTCAGTGTCTTGGTTGTGAATGACCCATGTTGGAGTGGTTGCTTCGCTTCCGGTGCTTCCTGGAGACCTGTCTGTTGGCGGATACTGTTGACATGGGTACTGGAACTAAAGATGTGATCATTGGTTGATGTGTTATTGATAGTCCAGGTATCGGTAATGTTAGGTGAAGGGGTGTTGATTTTGGCTGAAGTTAGGTGGAACGTATATTTTGCATTTTGAGTTTATGTTGCAAATTATATATTACAAAAATATGTTATTGAGATATTAATTGGATAATGGGAAAGGTGTTGAAATTTTTTGAGGTGTTGAAATGGAATGCAATATTTTTTAAAGTGAGCTTAAAATTATATATTAAAAAATAAGTATTATTGATATTTTTTTATCTCCATAAAAATCTTCACAGATTTAAAAAAACATTCCAACAAACCCCAATAAAAAAAAAGAAACTTGAAATTGATCCGTTCAGTAGCTTTAGTATCGAATCAACATCATACAAGATAATCCTTCTACCATAAACTAAACTTCGAACTCACCATAAACTTTCCCTTTCACGTCCTCAGCTTTTCCGAGGGGCACGCGCCTATCGGTCAGCAGAAGTCCCTCGTTCCTCGGTAGAACAATCTGATTCCCAAATCCCTCGTTCAAAACGTCATTAGCATAATTCATTCCCGAAACTGCGGATTGTTGCCCAGAAACCAGATGTCCAACCGCGTAGGGTCCATTTAAATTCGCAAAGGGATCCTGTAGCTCTTCAAGGTAGCTGGAGGACGGCGAAGAAGGTGAATCGTTGCACAACAACGATGTGGGATCGCCTCTGATCAAACTGAGATCAAATTCGTCCGTTGCTGCTTGCATGGTGCCTGTGAATCCTTGGTCCTCCGATTGGTTGTGCAGAACTAACGGTAATGACACGGACGCGTCATCCTGGTACTCCTGGTAGCCTTGGTATTCCGTGTAAACAGGATTGCTGAAGGTCCTCGAGAAGGAAAATGCTGAACCGACTGGAGGTAACCTTTGAGAATTGTCAGTGTCTTGGTTGTGAATGACCCATGTTGGAGTGGTTGCTTCGCTTCCGGTGCTTCCTGGAGACCTGTCTGTTGGCGGATACTGTTGACATGGGTACTGGAACTAAAGATGTGATCATTGGTTGATGTGTTATTGATAGTCCAGGTATCGGTAATGTTAGGTGAAGGGGTGTTGATTTTGGCTGAAGTTAGGTGGAACGTATATTTTGCATTTTGAGTTTATGTTGCAAATTATATATTACAAAAATATGTTATTGAGATATTAATTGGATAATGGGAAAGGTGTTGAAATTTTTTGAGGTGTTGAAATGGAATGCAATATTTTTTAAAGTGAGCTTAAAATTATATATTAAAAAATAAGTATTATTGATATTTAACAGTAAGGTGAAGTGGGGTAAGTTCGTAAACGGGGCAAGTGCGTATACAGGCTACTTTTATTACAATATGAGCGAAATTTCTTCATTTAGTATGTTTGTTTCCTCGTTTTGTTTCACTATATCCCCTTTTATATTTCAGCTAGGAGTACTTGTTTGCAGTATAGAGTACTTGCGTAATGCAGTAAAAAGCATTTTGTAGCAGATTTGTTAATAATTCTACTCTTGCCCCATTGCACATGAAATAAAGTTTCAAAGTATTTAACTTCAAGTTACGCTCTTACACCATTTTCGGGGAAAGTGCAGAGTAGTTGACATTTTAAACAATTTCTTATCAAAATCAAAATGTACAAGGAAAATTAAGGTCCTAGTTAATATTAATTAAATAGTAGTAATTGTGCAAAGCGTTCGATATCGACAGCGTTAGGTATTTACATAGCAAACTGAAAATACTTACGTTTAAATACCAACTTTACAAAAACCAGTCTGCACTTAGCCCACTTTACCTTATGTGAATAATAAAGGAAGAGGTGTTAAGCTCGAGTGAGATAGAATGTAATACATATTAAACGTGTATGTTGCATATTAGATATTTAAAGGAATAAATGTTTTTTATAGATTATTGATCTGCATTATGCATTTGTATTATGCATTTATGTGTTGCAAATTATTTGTATATTATACATATTATATAACATACATTAGGAGAGTTTAAATTGGCTCGAGGAGCATTATGTCAATTCAAACTTTATTGATGCAATTTTATAATGAATATTAAATTATACTGTAACGATCATTATTTTTTTATTATAATTTATGATTTATGATTATTGCAGTACTTATAGTGGTAATTTGAAAATTTGAGAATTTTGAATTATTGAAATCTGAGTCTTTCGACATTTTTGAGTTTTATACTCTAGGAATATGGAAATTTGACAACATTATACGATTACATTTGTTATTAAATTATGAAATAATCATATATATGCAGTATAATTATAGATAGGAGTATGATTACAATCACAATATATCGTAATAATATTATTGGTGTATTAAAATATTGTTAAGAATTCGATATTGTCAACATTTAAATTCTACAATCATATATATATGTAATATAATTGTAATGAGTCAAAATCACGATTATAATTGTGCTACGACAATTTTATTGAATATTTGAATGATAATATTCGATAATATCGATAATATCATTAAAAAGAATGGAGACAGTGATTGAAGTATACACATATACACGGTGTCGTATTTTTACTACTAAATTTTATCAACATAAAAATGAAAAAAGAATGTTATATCAGCATAAGATTTCAAACGCTTCATTAAAAAGTTATTAGAAAAAATATGAAAGTCGACAATTACTCGTAGATAAAATGGTGTCGATGGAAAAAATTATCTATTATCATATATTTCTTAGAATCTTTCAATAAAACATTTAAGAACTTATATTTATATAACCTTTTTTTATCATTTTTATTAATAAAACATTCTAATTGAATTTTACGTTCAAACTAGGACACATTGTATGTGCCAACAAAAACAAAACAAAGTCATTTTGTTAAAACGTTTTAATAAAGTGTTTAAACCCTTATGTTAATATAACATCTTATTTTTTTATATGGAATATATAGGTAAAAACTGTGACACCCTATGAATGATAATAAATACCCCAAAGATAACATTATAATAAGATCTATCTATTACAATATAAGATCTATACGATCTTACACCAATATATCATCAATATACATAATATCATAAGCGTACCTCCAGCTGGAACACGGTGGTGAGTTGCTCCCAATCAGGACTGGAGTTATTCGCCAAAAAGGGAGAGGTGACATTATCCGGATGAGATGTGACCCAACAAGGTTGCTGACCGACACCATTTATCGGCGCCAAATGCAAACTGTTGAAATCCTCTTGTTTGATGACCTTGGAACAGGCTCGTTGCACGTCCTCCTCGTTTCTGTTCACATGGTAATCCTCGAGGTGCATCGCGACACCGTCTGCAAATCGACCAAAGACATTTACTAGAAATTTATAGACCTTCAGTTGTTGCAAGCATGGAAAATCACGATGTTTGTAAATCGAAGAAGATTGGATACGATGTTGTAACGATGGGTCACGAGACATTCGCACTGATAGTGCTAAAAGTGTCTTCGTATCTTGCGGAAGACATGTGAAAGTTGATGTACAATTTACAGGACACGCGATGTGTTAGAAATGCACGAAAAGAGGTTAGAATCTCTCGTCATATTTTGCACTGGAACAACATTAATGTGCCTAACACTGTTTAAGATTTCACGATGCAGAAGAAATACTTATACTCTAGCAGCAAGTTCTCCAGCTCGAAGAACACACTGATATGGACGTGTCGGGATTATGAAAGTAGTCTAAGGCAAAAGTCCAAAAGAATTGAACTTTCCACGTATGTTACACAGATTAATATTATGAGCCAATTTTTTAATTCATAAACTAAATTAATAATTGAAGGTAATTGATCAAAATCCAAAAATCGTTATAATAATAACCTTGATTAGTGGAAGGTTCAATTCTATAAAAATTTTGACCCCTTTCATGATCACCGGCAAACATCAATAGCCACAACCCAATTCACTATACCCGACTCTACCACCGCTTACAATTAACCATTCCGATAATCTATCGAGGATGCACAGTGTATCAGAAACACGATTGGACTTCATCACTGTACACTTACAAGAATAGTCGGCGTCACAGGTCTCTCAAACAAGAACACGTACGAAATCTTATCGTTATTCTTCAGACTCGGCAGGGTCCAAGGTCGTGTTAATCGCGAAGAGGAAGCAGGGACGTTTCGTGATGCAACGCGAGTGACCCCGAGGAGATAATCCACTGTCGAACCAGCCGCACACCCGTTCCCGTATCTATGAGACGACTATCAGCCAGGACAAGACATCGCACCGTTTTTCCATCAGACAACGCTAACTTGTAGAAATCCCCTCCACCCTCGAACCCTACGTCTTCGGGAGCAAGGGAAGAAGAGTTGAAGAAGGGTACGCGCCGCCCACTCGCGTGGCCCTGCCTCGAGGAACAGAGACACACGCTCTTCGTGGCACTTGTGCATCGCTGCACTTGCCACGATGTCGTTGTTCTTCAACATCGTTTCTTCCTCCTCAAGATCGTCTTCTTCTTCTTCGGGACAGAGTCAGGGTGGCACATCTGCGCGCGCGTCTGTCGTCCCCCTTTTTCGTGCTCCTCCTTTCGCGTTACTTTGCCCTCGCGTTTTTTCACGCGGGCATAGATTCCTGGAACGATTATGCGCTGGATTGTTGCGGGGCTGACGAACCGATAGATTGCGTCATTTGTTGTTTCACGCGAGGATGTTGTTGGAGTTCGTTGTTGAGCTGTGGATGATTATAAGGATTTGTTGGGGGAGATACTTGTTAACTTGAAACAAGGATTAGAGTCTATGAGGAGGATCAGAAAGGTGGGTCTATTAAGGGGATGTGAAAAATTAGCACTCTTGAAAATAGGATTTTGGAACTTTGGGATTTTGGGGGTTTTGAGAGTAGGAAATTTCTGAATCTTAAGACTTTGAGACGTTTGGAACTTTTGGAGTTTAGGGACTGTAAAATTTTAACATTTTGAGACTTCAAGTCTCAAGGATTATGGAACTTTGATATTTTAAAAGTTTGGGACTTAAATATTATGGAGCTTTGGTATTTTAAGAATTTGAGACTGAGACGTTAGAATTTTTGAACTTTAGGATTCTGGGACTTAGGAAACTTGGAATTTTAAAATCTCAGGACTTCAAAAATTTTACGATTTTGAGACTTTGAAATGTTGGAATTCTCGGATTATGAGACATAGGCTTGAAATTAACAAATTTTTTGATTTTGGGAATTATGTATTATGGAATTCTGCGATTTTAGGATGCTGGATCTTTGGAATTTTGAGTCTTAGAAACTTCAAAATTTTGGAACTTTGTGACTTAAATTTTGTTATAACTTTTGGGTCTTTTGAACTTTAGAATTTCAGGAATTTAATATTCCAGAACTTTGTAAATTTTGGAACTTCGAAATTTTGAGAGTTTGCAGCATTTGAACATTTGCAACTTTAGAATTTAAAAATCTTGAAATATTTTAAATTTGGGACTTTAAAATTAAAAAATTTTGAAACCTTGTAACTTTGTGACTCTTGAATCTTGAAATGCTGGAACTTCGCAATTTTGGAACTTTTAGACTTCAGAATTGCAAAACTTTGATATTTCGAACTTCATCACTTAGAAATGTTAGAATTTGGGAATCATTTAAATTGTTCTAAGATTGATAAAGCGATAAACTGTACTTTTTATTATTTACTCCATTTTATGTCGCTAAAAACTTCTTGTATTAAATCTGATATAAAAATCAATCGAATATTTATCGATTCGGAAAAATATGAAGGATTTTTGTTTATGTCCTTTCGAAGTCATTAAGGTTAAAACAAAAGGTCATATCACTCACAGGATGTTTCCGTAGTACCGCGAAAAGTGTCCAACAATGGCGGACCAACCCTTCGTAATGGAGGTCGAAAATTTCTTCAAATAAGTCATAACACTTAATAATACTTATTTCTCATTAATTATTTAATTTAACATTTCATTAATTTGCAAATAAAGCACTTACAATAATGTACTCCATCAAACATGAATGAATAGAAGATTCAATTTCTTACACCTTTTCAAAATATTGCAAATTTATATTATTATCAAATTTGCGTATTACAAATATACAATTTTCAAATTAAAAAATATCTGTATACCATTGTCGCTTTACAAAAGTTACCAAATTTTTTTTATAGCTAAAAAACTTTGAAATGAAGAACCAATTCGTCTTGACAGATCCTACCACCCTACGCTAATTTAATAGAATAATGATATACACGTAACACATACAAATCACAAGGGTTAAATTAAGCAATCAATTTGTAATTTGATGCCGATAGACGATAGGTGGTCATCGGCGAGTCTCTTTGAAAGTTGGTAGGAATATTCCAAGTCGAGGTGCAGCGATAGATAAAAACCGAGAAAGAGAGAAAGAGAGAGAAAGGTGGGGGTGCATAGGACGATCTTTCGTCGGTCGAACCCCGAGAATCGGGTGCAGGGACAAAAAACGTAAAACCAGCTGCCGCACACGCGTCACTTATTAACAACAGCTTCTTCGCAAGCACACATGAGGGCAAGTCGTTCACTCCTTCCTCCTATTACAGCCTACTATTATTTCACCGACCTCCAAGCTCTCCCTCCTTTCGCTGCCCCTCGAACTTTCACGCGAATATACTTGATATTGTGCCGGTAATCACGAAAGTGGTGTAAATCGACATTTAATTGCACTTTTCGTTTATTTTGCATTACATGGATTTTACTATCTTTAAGAATCTTTGGAAAAAGGAAACTGAGCGACACTACACTGTTTACTACTTGCCAATATTTTTAAATACATTGCGAATGATTTTAAACAAATTAGTATTCGTTGTTCATTACTTATCTGATGTCTTTAATCTTATATCATATATTTATCTGATATTCTAATCTTATGTCATGTATTTAAATTTCAACCTCATAATTTTTATTTATCCAATTTAGGTATAAAAATAACTCTGGGTTCGAAAAATAAATTAAAATCGAACGAATATAAAGTCAATTAATAAAAATAAGAAAGATGAAGTTACCCTCGCAGGCTAATCCTCTCCTGTCGGTCGATTAAACGTTCCTTAAGATACCACTTTTTTTCGCTGCCCTTTCTCCTTCATTCTCTGTCTGTTATTGCATCCGTATGGGGTGTACGATCGAAATCCTTTTTCCAGTATATTTATTTTAATGGCAGTCGTACACATGCGGTGACTATGGTACGAACGGAGTTGACAGGTGCCCGGGCAAAAAAGCGTGGTCGAGAGCGGGCATAGTATGTATAATGTAAGCATAGAGGGCTGGCACGCCACATGTGCCACTCTATCACTTATCTACCCGTAATATGACGTATAACCCGACCATAAGATGCAACTGTGAACACGTGAGTGTGCTCGCGTGACTGCACCAGTTGAGATGCACACGCGCGTATATGTATGTAAATGCATCTAAGTATACGAGGTTTTAAGTAGATGGATACGGACATGCACTTTGTGTATGTACGCATGGAAGAAACGAACGGCCGACTTTCGAAGATAATACAAGAATCGTACTGAAATTATCGCAATGCGTTTCGCATTATTTGGTCGATAAACGGAACATATCGTTCATGGTAATTGCATTAGGATATAAAACAACACAACGGGTGGTATGTAACACATATCAAGCGGTAATATAAGGTGAGATGTGTATCACATATCAAGTGGTGACATAAGGTGTGATATGTAACACATATCAGTTGACAATATAAAAGAAGGTATGCATATCAGCAATATAGCAGATGATATGGAACAAGATGGCGATATAAAGCGTATTCTATACCGCAACGCGTGGTAATATAATGCGTGACAATGACAAATGATAATGTGTCACGTGGCAATATAACGCGTGAGAATACAGTGCGTGGCAACATAACGAATGGCAAGGCGCCACGAGACAACACAGCTTGTAATTTATAGTGTAGCAATACAATGTGAGGTAATATAATAAATGATAAAGCGCCGTGTGCAAATACAGCGCGTGGTAATGTAACGTGTGGCTACATAACATGTGATCATACAACGCATAACTACATGGCACGTGACATGCAACGCGTAGGAGTGCAATGTATGACAAGTGGTAATATGACATCAAGTAATATTGTTAAGTTTTTTATTTAAATTCCCATAATAATATATAACAAATTATTTAGTAATACATTATTTACAATACATTAATGATTCCTTGACAGCCAATGTAAATTACACTGTCGAATCGAAAATAAAGCGCTGGTCTGCGATGATAAACTGCGTTCGAGGAATGTATATTTTCGGATAAGGGGTGTTTAAAACGTCGAAACAGTGGCGGTTAATTTGTGTTTGGAGTTGTATAGCGGTACAAGTGGATAGAGAAGCGTATTGGAAATAGTGCGAGACACATCGCGTACGTACGTGTCGGCGTTCAGCATTCGGTCAAGCGACGTAAAAATAGAAAGACGTGCGCTCTGCATGTGACTTCGTATAATTAGGTACCGAACCCGAGAGCTGTGGCGTTGTATATCCCATACGTTAGTTAGGAAGCTAGCACATTAGAGCTTGACACGGGTCCCAACGATTTTTTTTTGTAACCACGTTGACGAATCGGTTATAAAATATTATATAATATCTGTCGGAATGCAGCGTGACGACCGAGAACATCGTGTCGGGTACAAATGATTTATTGCTCTTTCATGCTCGACTTAATAAAAAATATTTGTAACACTTGTACATTGATCAATATAGAAGTATTCAACGACGTATCACAACGGGAAGACAGATTTTTTGCTCAGAGGTTAGCGATTGACGCTAACCGTATGTAGCGGTTAAATTAAAATTATAGGTCTCGTTTCGTAATGAAAACGAGTTGGACGTTAACGAGTAATTCGTACTGATATTAACTGCACTTTCATTTTCTACTATGGGAAAATGCTGTATACGACCGCTGCTCCAAGCGATTGTTAAACAAATCACACTGGATTTATCATTACACTTTTGATAGAAATTCATGCAATTCGGAACTTCGCCTGGGAATCCTTTAATAAGGCAACCTGGTTTTAGTTCGATCACCCTTGACAGATTTCCCAACTTGGTTTTAACTAATGCAATCCAGGGGCTGTCCTATATAATTAGAAAATCGATGAGAATTTTAAATTCGACATGTTAGGTTATCGGATCGAAGCATGATGTAGATAAACTATACCTGAAACAATATAGCGAGATATTTTCCCGTAGGATCCCATTCCATCGCGACTATTCTGCCACCGACTGAAACGTAATCGTCGTCCGAAGAGAAATTGACTTTTGCTAAGTCTATCAAAGGCACGGCCATTTGTACTTCGTCGAAAGACGTTTTCTTAACGTCGAAAATGTTCTTTTGTAAAGGTAACGAGAAAATCGTAGTAGGATCTTCAGTTGAAGCGAATAAGAGGGTCAAATTAGGCCCGAAACATGCAACTGCTACACGACCACTAGGTACTGTCCATTTATCTACATGCCATGGTGTTGCAACTCCAGTATTCCAAATTCTATAAAGCAGCAAAGTTAGAAAAAAAAAGACATGAAAATATGCATAAAAGAAAACAAGATATACCTAAATATGTTTCTACACGTAGCAGAAAATAAATGGGATCCACAGGTTGACCAGCGTGTGAAGCATATACCACCACCTCCTACTCGCCTCAACGGAACACCTTCCTTCCTGGATGTATCCCAGACAATCATACTTGTGTCTGCGGGTGAGCATGATACCAGCAAATCACCCTGCGGATGCCATGTAACATTTGTTACAGGCGCATGATTGCGATGTTTTAGAAACACTGCATGACTAAGAGAATTACTGGCTGCTCCTAATTCTATTGTCCAAACTAAAACACCTCCATGACATGCTACTGCCAATTCCTTTCCAGCAAGTGGTCTCCAGCTTACACAACAAACTGACTTTTGAGCACTGTGCCTCAGTATTGGTACTACTGGTATTCCTTGAGAGAATATACGCATACGATCATCTCTCGTGACAACTGCTAGTCTTGGACAATGTGGGTGCCAAGAAATACATCTGATCTAAAGATTAATGTTAAAATGCAAATTTATAAGTAATATATATTTATATTATGTATATTATATTATCTACATTTATGTCTTACAAGAGATGCTTCCCAATCCCGTGTATGGACTACATCTACAACCGATCCAGATCCAGAAATAGGTAAAATTTCTCGTTGATATAACCCTTTATCTAATAAATCTAATCCCTGTTTAAGCCTGTAATTAAAAACACCTAATTATCTATCCAAAATTAAATGCAATTTGCATAACATGTTCTTAAACAAATGAGGGTATGGACCAATTAAAACACATAAAATGAAACATTTTATATAATGTGAATAATTAGGCTAAATTATCCACAGTTCTTCGAGTGCTATTAAAAAATGAAAGTAAATATATAAGTGTATAAAAATGACTGTGACAATTGAAACATGTTTTAACTTAAACATACCCATGTAAGATTAGAAACAATTCACATATGTTTCATTCAGGTTAGATATAAAAGGAAACTTATCAGATTAAATAAAACTCATTTTATGTCAATTAAAAACCTTGTAGCTATCCAATGTATGACCGTCGTAACTTCTTGAGGTTCTGCGGATGCAGCAACATAGATAGCTTCAATTAATCCTTTCTCTCTCCATATGCTGGCAAGTTTCTTAAAGATACTATCATGAACAGGTAAAAATAAATCATCGGCGCAAACTGTTCGTGCCGTTTCTCGCGTAGCAAGAATATCTGGGGCAATTGAAACTTCTGGATATTCTCGTATATATTTGGCAAATGGTTGCAACTCATCTTGTAGCTTCTCATAATTGCAATAGTGCAAAGTACTTCCTATGAATCCAACAGCAGCTGGCTCATCGAATGAAGGGGCATCGAAATCTTGCAGTGACAATATTTTCAACATGATTAACTGTTCTGCCTAACCTATAACAGCACACTATGAAACAATAAAAGATATCATACATCCGAACAAATATGACTTAACAAACATATAACAAATAATAATTTTTACAAAAACATTATTTCAATAATTATTAGTGTGAAAAAGTATTCAAAATTTTCCGCAATAGTAACTGCATACCTCGCACAACTGAAGCCGGATAAAATGGCTACTGACAGTTTACATCAGTTGCTATGGTAACAACCAATCTCTATGCAGTATTATCACGCTACTGCGCATGCGTCGTGTGTCTGCCATTCAAAATATTTTACTCTCAAAGAGACACTTTAAATTAATGTCATTAATACAAACTCGCATGACATTCGATATTTTTGCGTTTATATGTCGCAATAGAGTTTAAGGAATAAAAAAAAGTTTATTTTCAGGGATGGAGATTTTCCGAAGTTATGAAATATAGGACTAAGAAATTGAACCTACGGCGGGACACGTCGAATGTGACAGAGACAGAGGTAGGGGATCGGCTTGAGCAGGGTGGGGACCAAAATGGAGGGGTGAGGTGGGGACAGCAGCAGTATGCGGTCGCTATTCGTGCGGCGTGGATTACGTATTAGAGTTGTCTTCTGCTACGAGCAGGCCTCGTAACGTCGGTTCATTTCGTTCTGAAAGCTATTTATCTCGCGACGAACAGCAACACGGCGCACGGTTGATAAAATGCTACCGCGAAGATAGTGGCAACGATCTGTCACGATGAACATGATTTCGGTGGAGCTTTCGTTCTAGAAAGTCGGCCGAGATCGCTGGGCAGACGAGAGACAGAAGGGAGGAGGACCAGCTCGGTCTTCACGAGAGATGGGCAAGAAGGGTTCTAAGCGGAAAACTCGATGGAGAACTCTCAGCATCGGTGGTGAGCTTCATTAATAAATTAAAAATCCCCTAATGGTAGTTGCAGCTGCATTTACCCGCTCGCATGCTCGTGACTAGTCGTTGATCTATTACCAGAAATAAACGTCGTAGACGTAGATCAGGTATTGCCATTTTGCCGTCTACGAAGTATCGAACGTAGTCAGTTTACAACCCCGAATTGTCCCCGAACAATCACGATTCAAAGAAACACTTCACGCCGGGCCTCGACATTGTCGTTTTCGCCCGGTAACCGAGAAAAAAAGCACCGCGTACCCGTGTCACGGATAAACAAGGGCACGAGATGATTGTCGCATAGATGAACGAGGTTACTGTGAGCCGTTTCATCCGGTGACACCGCGAGGCGGAATTTCGTCGTTCTGTCTAGGACCGTTTTCCAGTCGAGCCATCGATCCGTGGCACCCTCCATGATTTTCCTTCCCTCGTCGAAATGTGTCTAGCTAAAGCAACCGCTCTACACGCGACCTTACCTATGTCTAGGCTGTTCCTCGCGGAAAGCCTGTCTCTCGGCCGGTGTATCTCGCTCGTCGATGACCCGTTTTACTATTACGCTTTCATCTATACCCGTCCTAGTGACATATCTAGTACAAACTCGGACGCGAAAATTGCACGATTTATTCCGTACTTCCGCATGCTTTCTTATAACCCTTGTCTCGATCGCTTTCTGTACAACGTTTCACGTTTGCCGTCGCGAAGCTTCCAAAGAGAAATGTATATTCTCTCTTCGTGTCATTTTCTATGCATGTACAAAGTTTATGTGCCGAGTTCTCGAAAGATACGTTACGAAGATAAAGAAATGTGAAGGGTTGGAAAATTCAGTTTGGTTAGTACATAGATTACCGACCGTGTGCTGTCGAAGAAGGGTGCAAGATGGTGGTATTTGGTACTGTAGTGTTAGCCACTGTAAGACAGCATTTCTTTTTGTTCCATTTTATTAAATTGATAAATGCAAAAGAACTCTAGAAAGATGTAATTCGTAATTTGCACGTCCATACTTATTTTTGTACCGTGTGTTGAAACACGTGCGCGTTTCCTGTCGTTGTTTCGTGAATGTGTTATATCGTCCATCAGGCTCGTAAACACAACTCTGTTTTGTTTATAACACGACTTGTAGAATTTATTTATCTGGATCTGAAGTGTCATACGCGGTCAACGTCATAATACACGCGTGACATTAGGTTAGTAGCAAGCTCGACACATTTAATTACTAAATCTAATGTAACTGTATATTTTTAGATTTGTACATGCACTTTATTTTGAGAGGTTCTAGCATTATTATGTGACGTATTGGTGTTTATCAGTCTAGTTCACGTTATCGTCGTCTGATAAGGTTAGGAGGGTTCACGCTTGCCAACTACATTAGATGCTATATGTTTAACTGAGAGTTTCTACCCTTAATTTTACTTTTCGAGAACGTTCAATATTTTTCTTTGTATCGTTGCCGCTTTCAGTCACAATTTTTATAAACTTTTAAATTTGTAAATTAGATCATTTTCATTGGTTTACTCTACTAATAAATAATATAGTTGAGAGACAATTTTGATATTTCAGAATTATCGAAATAATTTTTATTATTGTTATGGAGTTAGAATATTTGAATGTTTGAATTTTGGGTCCTTAGAAGTTTCAGATTTTAGGAATATTAAAATTTTAGGATTTTATAATGAATTCAGATTTTGAGACATCCATTATCATGAAAATAATTTTAACCTCTAAAAATTAATAGGTTATTATATGTAAAAAAGAGTAGTTCATATAAAACGTATCGAAAATGTCATCGAAGTGATTTTGAAAACTCGTCTATACGTCATGTAAAAATACGATTGTTTCGCGCGTTTGTGATGCAGTAGTTTAATAAGAAAAGGTGGTTTGTGCTTTTTCCTATTTGTGGGGAACATAGCGGAACGGATTAAATATTCTCCTGGCAATGGCAATTTATTTCGAAAATTGGAAACATACCGGGTAGAATTGCGCAACGGTGTTTTCCACGCGTGAGGTAGGTAAAACGAAGGTTATGTACATGTGCACGTTCGCGATAAAAATTCTCGCACCTTGGACGTTTCAAAAAGATATCTCCATTTGCTACGTTATAATTAAGGTTTGAACGTCGTAACTCGTGGAATTAATGTTTTGTTTTACGGTTGAAACGCTGCCAATTATTCTACCCTTTACAATGATTACATTCGTATACAGCTTTACGCGTTGCGAGTGTAAGAAATTCGGCGCATGCGCAGTGCGTGAAAATATATCGAAACTGTTACATGATGAATGAGCAGGTTGGAAATAATTAACAATTTTTTATTATTCTCATATTGTTAGCGACATTACGCTGATGGCTTATGTTAATTCAAATTCACTTGATTTCATTTACTTACATTTTTCGAAGCATTCGTAATAGCGAAATAGAAAATATAAGTTTGTTTTATTTTGAAAGTTACAGCGTTCGTTGCATCATAGAATAATTTTTCCGATACATCGATATTCATCAGTCACTGAATAATTAATTATACCCCACTTTCATGGGATTAATATTTTGTAACAGCTTCCATCTAATTAGTGAATAGTAATTCGATTGGCAGCTATCGAAATAATAAATCGAAACTGTGTATTGAATAGCCGTCAAATAGTGCGCGCGAAATTCAAATTTGATCTTGCTCCAGATCGAGTAACTCATAGTTTCGTTCTTATAATTGTGACAACCGTTCGATATAAAAGTATGACATAAATATGAAATAAATATTAACCGTGCATATAATATAGTTACTTATAGATTGATCCATATGAACTAGTTTATCTAGTACAATTATGATGCAGAAATTGTGAATAATTGTTTAGTGAAGAGGTTGAATGCTTTCATAAATCCTCTCAAGTATTTAATTTTTAATCGAAGTAAATATGAATAATCATTCGTCCAATATATCTGTTATATTTTCCATTACAGAAACAATAAAAATCTTCGTTTTACAAAAATATTGTGTATGTCAGATATAACGATTTAAGATAGATTTTTAAAATATTTTTTACTTGAAAACTGAGCTTTTAATAGCAAAAATTTTGTCTACACTTGATTAACTTTTTCATGTGGAATTTCTCTGTGTTCAATTCGAGACATCCCGTATCGGTTAAATGGTTTGTTCAGACGATTCCGTTAGACGATGGGAAGGGGGGAGGGAAACCAAGTCGCTGTCCCCCACAAAAATGTACGTCGGCCAAGAATTCAGGATCTGCAACCCTTGACATTCACGGTCTTTCTCTCGTGGGGGTCAAAGATCTTCGGCGAAAACGAAAGAGAGCTATGGCGGAGTTGAAAGAGAGAGGGGTTGGAACCGAGCGAATCAATAGGAACAGCCGTTGCGCCTCGATCGCGATGCTGTTCGAACTTGGGAACGAATCCTATTATGTTGAAAAAAGATGAAAACGATGTTGTTATAAGGGTACTTTAGTTCCGGACGAATGTCTTCGAAAATAATACGATTATTCCGCGGTAAAATGCAAACACCCTAGTAATATTTCTTGATGATAAAAGTGTTTTGACAAGTTGGGTTGAATCGATAACGGCAGGGTAACGTATGGAATTGTATTACGTGGCAATGTATTGTGTGGGGCGATGTAACGAGTGGAAATACAATGCATAATAATGCATTGCGTGGCAATATAGCGCGTGGGAATACAGTGTATAATTGCGTGGCACCACGTGGCAGTAGAATTCATGGTAATATAGCACGTGGTAATTTTATACGTGGCAATATAGCACGTGGTAATTTTATACGTGGCAATATAGCGCGTGGTAATTGTATACATGGCAATATAGTACGTGGTAATTTTATACGTGGCAATATAGCGCGTGGTAATTTTATACGTGGCAATATAGCGCGTGGTAATTTTATACGTGGCAATATAGCGCGTGGTAATTTTATACGTGGCAATATAGCGCGTGGTAATTTTATACGTGGCAATATAGCGCGTGGTAATTTTATACGTGGCAATATAGCGCGTGGTAATTTTATACGTGGCAATATAGCGCGTGGTAATTTTATACGTGGCAATATAGCGCGTGGTAATTTTATACGTGGCAATATAGCGCGTGGTAATTTTATACGTGGCAATATAGCGCGTGGTAATTTTATACGTGGCAATATAGCGCGTGGTAATTTTATACGTGGCAATATAGCG